AAATGTTTCCTGCTCTAGAACAGAGATTGTGCAATCTACGAGTGTATTTGGAACCTCTTTTAGTTCAGAAATCATGCTGCTAAATTAAATAGAAAAACACAAACTTGGAAAGTTTTTTTTAAAGATGTCATGTATCAATAGCGTCTCCCAATGACAAAAGTTCATTAAAAAAAACCCAGTCATTCTTCTATGTTGATATCACCATTTCTGTCAGGCTTCACATCAGGGCTCTGAAAAATAATTATTGCACATCATCCTTCCTCTTTTTTTCCTTGTTTAACATTTAGCCAAGGGGGAAAAAATGGGTATGTTGAATGGGATTTTTGTTCCTCTCTCTCCCTTTTCCTATCCAAATTTCACCTTGGGTCTAGGTGGTGGCTTCCCTTTTTCTGACCATATTTAGCAATAATCTGCACATGAAATACAGAGAAATAGTTTCCAGACCAATGGATTAAACTTCCTTTTTTCTACCCTGACAGAAGAAAATGAGAAAAAAACTAAAATGATCTGCTGCTAAATTACTGAGTGTGCTTGCAAAGAATATTTGTTCTAATGTAACAGAGACCAATCAAATAAACCAATGTGGGTGCAATTTAAAATGTCCCCATAATTACAATAACCACTGTGAGTTAAATTTGCAGAACTCCTATTGGAAATGAACCATCTCATTTTCTCTAATGGAAGAACTAATCCTGACCCCTGCTAAACATTAATTTCCCCAAATTAACTAAGGTCCATTCTGAATGTCAGTATTTAGCTAAAGGAAAACACAGCCTTCACGGAGGGATCTGACATTTACATTTGTGTGATAAGTTTCTGTGATACCTTTATTCTCCATTAGAGTGAACGCCTCATAAATGGTACAATTTATACATCAAATAAATACATTTATTTGCAGTTACAATAGCTGTTTCTCATTAATAGACAAATATTTGCTAAGCATTCATGATTTAACTGTAGTATTATCCTCCACTGCCACCCTGCCCCCTTGCTACTTCTGCTTCTTTAGTAAACCATTTTGTGGCTTTTATCTCTGACATCAGCCACCCCTTTCCTGAGAACTAAACAGAAACTCTTCACAGCCTAGAATAAGATTTATGGACAGCTTCTGATAAGGCCTCCCTTTCTTTCAAAATCTTCTACCATCTTAATCTCCTCTCAAGTGGGGAGGAAGATCTATGTAGATAAGGATATTACAACAGGTGCCCTGGTATAAATTTTAGGTTTTATGCTCTCATTGTCATTGTATATGTATTCTGTCTCAACAAAATAGTTGCCCAATTTGGACCATTTTCAGGATATACATGGAAATGACGCTAAGGAATTACTCATTCAGTCCTCCATGTTGTGAGTTATCTGCAGTGATGGGTTTCAAAATGTTTTAGAACCTCTTCTGTAGGTGTGGCCTGCTTTGTGGAAGTGGCTTGCCGGCCATGTGACTGGGTGGAAGTGGCTTGCCAGCCATGTGACTGAGTGGGAGTGGCTTGCCAGCCATGTGACTGGGTGGGCGTGGACAAATTGTAAAATGTGATGAAAGTCACTTAACAACACTCTTGCTTAGCATCCAAAATGTTGGCTCAGAAACTAACTCTGGCATTTGAAGCACGCAAGTCTTAAAGCTGTCAAGTTACAGGACACTTGCACCACTAACCCTTTAGGGAAAAAAAACCCCAGGGGTGTTCAAACTTGACAGCTTTAAGACTTGTGGACTTCAACTCCCAGAAATTCCTCCTCTCGCTCTTCATCTTGTTGATGTGTGGACGGGCGGTGGGAAGGAGCTGGAACCGGTTCTAAACGGCACTGTAGATTTGTGGAACCTCTTCTATAGAAGAGGTTAGAACTGGCAGGAACCCACCCCTGGTTTTCTGGGACTCAAATACTTCACACAGAGGATTTGCTTCCTTTGAGAACAATCATGGAAGATTAAAGCCATTTACTGGAGCAAACAGGAGCAGAATTCAAAGGTGGAATTCAGCAGGTTCTGACCAGTTCTGGAGAATTGGTAGCGGAAATTTTGAGTAGTTCGGAGAACTGGTAAATACCACCTCTGACTGGCCCCGCGCCCATCTATTCTCTGCCTCCTGAGTGCCAATTGATTGGGAGGGAATAGGGATTTTGCAGTAACCTCCCCTGGAGTGGGGTGGGAATGGAGATTTTACAGTAGCCTTCCTCTGCCATGCCCACCAAGCATGCCTACAGAACCAGTAGTAAAAAAAATTGAATCCCACCACTGGAGCACATACCAGCTCAAACTCACAGCAACTCATCCGACCCTCACCTTTTTGTAGACTGTCTCCACTAAAGCTAAAGCCTGCTTGCTTTTTATGCAAACGTCTGCATAAGCACACCTAGCAATAGCAACAGCAATAGCAGTTAGACTTAAATACCGCTGAGAGGGCTTTCAGCCCTCTCTAAGCGGTTTACAGAGTCAGCATATCGCCCCCACAGTCTGGGTCCTCATTTTACCCACCTCGGAAGGATGGAAGGCTGAGTCAACCCTGAGCCGATGAGATTTGAACAGCCGAACTGCAGATAACAGTCAGCTGAAGTGGCTGCAGTACAGCACTCTAACCACTGCACCACCTCAGCTCTACCACCTGGCAGGAAGAGAAAGAGATCCCCCAACTCCAAGCTTTCTTCTTCCGCAGCTATAGGCAGTCATTCTCATAACACAAAGTACTTGATCATTTACTAGATGTATTGCTGTAATTTACACTTCATTATCTATTTGTTCTCTTCCCCTGTTTTTTCCCATTCAAAAAGGCTGTATTGAGTTAAAAGTGTCCATAGGATTATTCTGCTTAATCTCTCATTTTGACTGATTCAGTGACTGACTATGTACCATCAAATTTTGAACTCTTAGTAACCATATAAGTTCAATAACCTTTGAACTATAGTGTTGGACAAGACTCCTGCGAGTCCCTTGGACTGCAAGGCGATCAAACCAGTCAGTCCTAGAGGAGATCAACCCTGACTGCTCTTTTGAAGGCCAGATCCTGAAGATGAAACTCAAATACTTTGGCCACCTAGTGAGAAGGAAGGACTCACTGGAGAAGAACCTAATGCTGGGAAAGATTGAGGGCAAAAGAAGAAGGGGACTACAGAGAATGAGGTGGCTGGATGGAGTCACCGAAGCAGTAGGCGTGACCTTAAATGGACTCTAGAGGATGATAGAGGACATGAAGGCCTGGAGGGAATGTTGTCAATGGGGTCGCAATGGAAACAACTTTGCAACTTAACAACAACAGCAAAAGGTTTTTTTCATGACAAATCTGCCCCAATTAGGTTTTTCAGATCTCCCAAGGATGCACCCATTGCCACTGTAACACAACCCATCCATCGTGTAGCTGATCATCCTCTTCTTCTCCTTCCTTCCACCTTCACCAGGATTAAAGACATCTTTAGGGAGCTGGATGTTTGCATAATGAGTCCAAAGTAAGATAATTTCAACCTGATCGTATTTGTCTTGAGTGAGAACTCTAGATTGATTTGTTCAATGATCCATTCTTTCACTGTCCATATATTGTGATGGATTTTTCCCCCAACATCAGAGTTCAAAAGTGTCAGTATGCTTTCTATCCTGCTTCTCCAAAGTCCAACTTTTACTTCCACACAGGGAATATTCTTGCTAGCACTCTTTTGATTTTAACCACTCACTTTATTAGGATATGATGACAGCAATTCCCAAATTAAGTTTTTAATTCAAGTGAATTTGAAACAGTTTTGTGGAAATGGGTTTGTCATTCCCACAATGTTAATTTTTAAAGATGAAGTGGGTAGGGAGATAGAATTTAGTAGAATAATTCAAGTGACAGGCTAGGACTTCAGAACCTTGGGTTCAAATCCCTACTCAGTCATGAACTTTACTCTCTAGAAGAAGACATCTATTCAGAGAAGATGGCTCAGCAGGCATCATGATATGTTCTAAAAATGGTAACAATAGGAAAGAATAATCAGTTTAGCTTGCCTTGCATCTAAGCCAGAAAAAAAATCTGGAACTCCTTTTAAATTCTCAGGAATAGCAGCATCTGCATGGATTTGCATCACAGCTTCTGCTTTCAACAATGAAAAACACATAAACAGACTTTCCAGTAACATCCATATGGTGTCATTTATCTGAGGAATAGCTGAAACAGAAGCATAACCAAAAAAACCTCTCATCATAAAAGTTTTTAGCTAATGCAAATTCAGTTTCTGGGATCAACATCATCAATCTATTTCAGGCCTTGTACTCGTACTTCAACACTGCATTGCCATTTGCCCTGATACCTGGATTTCTCGTTCATTGACTCCAAGGTGGTCTGGCAAATTTCTTTCCTTGTGAGTACTTTATATTACTTGTTCTGTTAAAGACAACTCATGGGTTTTGTTCTGGAGTAATCTGACAATTTTGTCCCTTGAAACTTTCATGACAGTCTAGACCTGACTGATTTTCATTGAATACGAATGAAAGGATCTACATGTATGTGTGATTTTTTTTATACCATATATGCCCTTTGGAATCTTACGCTTATTACTGCACTGAGTTTTGTAGTGGGAATAAAAACGTGTCTCTCTTTCAGATTCATCTGACTTGAATGACACTGAGAAGGCTGAGCTAAAAATAATAAAGAAGCATCAGGAAAACTTTCTGGAAGACATTCAGGTAGGCATCACTTTGGTTCACCAACTAGATGGGTTGAGTTGAGTTTACTTTATTGATTAGCCCATCTCAAAGTGCAGCATTCCACACACAAATTATTACTAAAATCTGATAAAAACAATTTAAAATGGAATTGGCTAAAGTACAATTTAAAATGAAATTGGAATAAGCTACAATTTAAAATGAAATTGGAATAAGATACATTTTAAAATGAAATTGGAAACTAGATGGGGTAGACTACAATTTGTAATTTGCACATGCCTATTGACTGTGAAGTGGAAATTATAGGAGGTCTAGTCAAGAGCATTTGGACTACCCCAGATTAGGGGTGCCTGAGAGAAAGCAAAGGATTATCTGAATGCAGCTAGGTAATTTTTGACCCTGGATTTAATAGGGTTACAGGTAGTAGAAAAAGTCTTATAAAGTCAAGTGTATTGCACTGAGTAAGCACTATTTTTCTGTGAGATAGAACAATATATTTGGATAATGGCTATGCTTCTGGGAAAAGACTCCTGGCATTATTACTAGAAGTTTCTTCATGACCATCTCTACTTGGCCTGTGACGTATTGATCTTGAGAATCTCTACCTTTCCATATATATATATATATATATATATATATATA